GTTTTAAAGGTAATTCAGATGCCTCTTTCTCATCTAGTAAGAATTCAGCAGTTCTGGGCATTATTATAAGGAATCATCGAGGCTAAGTAATGACAACAGATACGAAATACCTGGTAAATATTTTGTATGTGGATGAAGTCGAGGCCATGGCGGTGCTGGAAGGTCTTCGTTTAGCGGCGGAGGCTGGATTTTCCCCAATTCAATTTGAGACCGATTCCATGCGTATTTTCAATCTCCTGAAGCATGAGAAAGAAAACCTGTTGGAAACTGGATCAATCATTGCTTATGCAAAATCATCTTTCGCGGAAGGATTGCATGCATCATACCTGTTCACTAAGCGGGATGGAAACACAGTTGCTCACATTCTGGCGTGGAGAGTTTGAGAGTGCCAAGAACACCTTATCTAGATGGAGAAGTGGCCGACGGAGGTTTCAGAAATGCTGGCTCTTGAATGTCTTGATATTTTATTGTAGTTGCTTTATTTCACCTTTCAAAAAAAAAAAAGTCGTAGTCTAAGATTCATGTGAATCACGTTTGGTCCTTGATGTGGGATAAAACTCGATCTTAAATGACCAGGATTCATCAAGTCTCGATCCAAGATTCATGAATAGAATTTTAATGGTAGGAACAAAATTATTATCAATTTAAAAGTTCAGAGACTAAATCGTTACTTTTTAAATTTTAATGATGAAATCGTTATTTTAATGAAAGTATAGGGACTAAATCTGTTATTAAACATATCTATTGTTATAACTATGAAATCTACTGACAAAAAATGAGTTGGTTGCAGAGGTCGAAACTTGAAAATCATTTCCGTTGAACCATAAGAAAAATATGTTACAAATAGAAAACATCGGTTTCTAATAGAATCCAATATTCGATATTCATCAGAAGTAATCAAATGTACATCAATACTTGATATCCATCACTATATTCTACAAGCGAAACAACGAATAAACCAAAAGCAAAATAGGAATCAAATAGGAATAAACTTCAAGAACAATATACCAAGAGACTAAGAGGAGAGAAAAAAAAAAGAAAAAACAAGATATATTATTAGAAGAAAAAGAAGATCGGATCAAACAACCGAAAAGGAGGAATGGAGCCGAAGGAGGAGCAGACCCACGAAGCAAGGTAAGTGGATTGAGACCCGGCAACTTGGGCTGGCTATAGTCGACCAAACCTCGACGCCAAGATCTTCTCGGCCCCATGGCCGAGAACTTCATCGGTTCTCCCCGACCCTACACAGCACAATCCAAGTTGACTTGCTCTCAGCCTTGGGTGCAGCATGAGGTCCACTCCTTCTAGATCTCCTGACTGCACTAGGATTCGACTTGTGTAAATCCTAATGGGACTAGGATTCGGCTTATGTAAATCCTAAAGGAATTAGGATTCGACTTCTGTAAATAGGAGGATGAGCAAAACCCTAAAGGTACACTACGAATCTCTACTCTTGGCTATGCCAAAATACCCTACTCTTAATACTCGACTTCTCCGATTCTGACTTAAGCATCGGAGCCTGTGTGGGAAGAGCCACACCGGTCTTTAATGCTATTCTATTTTGTAGATCTCGTCGATCCATTTATTCTAGAAGATTGGTGCGAATTTGACGGAATCCCAGGAGGCCAAATTTCTACATCAACAAGATAGATTCCAAATTGAGTTCAATTGAAAAAAACTGATCCATAATTTTTAAATTTATGTTAAAATTTCTCATTTTTCTTATTTTCTCCGATGAGTCACAAGAAAAAGATGAAGAAGAATATGAGTTTGAACAATAATGACGCGAAACCAGAAGTTTCAATGTGAATGAAGAAGAAAGTGCTTGAACGAATAAAAAGATTTGTAGCGAAGTCGGAAGTTTCAGTTTGAACCAAAAGTTTCAGATTCAGCTTGAACGATGATGAGCCTCAAAGCCGGAAGTTTAAGTTTCAGATTATGTAGCGATTTGACTTGAAGCATAAGATTTATAGAAGTTAAAAATTTTTGATTATATAGCCGTTAGACAAGAAAGAGGAACATTTATAGAAGTTGGAAGTTTCAAATTCGAAAAAAGACGAAGAAATGGGAGGAAACATGTGAGATCTGAAACAAAATATGGAAGGGTAAATTTGTAATTAAAAAAATAAAAGATAATATTTCACATAATTTTCCATATTTACAAAATTCAAAACCTCTTGCAATATTTGTAAGATGTATAAAAATTGGAATAATAAAATTCGAAAAAAGACGAAGAAATGGGAGGAAACATGCCAAACAAAATATGGAAGGGTAAATTTGTAATTAAAAAAATAAAAGATAATATTTCAAATAATTTTCCATATTTACAAAATTCAAAACCTCTTGCAATATTTGTAAGATGGTATAAAAATTGGAATAATAAAATTCAAAAAATAAAAGTTTAAGGGCCCGTTTGAAAACCATTTTGTTTTTGGTTTTTGGTTTTTCATAAACAGGATTATTTGATAACAAGTTCAATTTTCTGTGTTTTTTGTTTTTCAAAAACCATTTTGAAATTCCATGTAAATTTCAAAAAAAAAAAAGTAGTTTTCGAAAACAGGTTTTTGTTTTTCAAAATCTGATTTTTTTTCTTCTAATATTTATTTTTTTTTTCTTTCTCATATTTATGTCTAAAAAATTATTTCACATTCTAAAATTTTTTTATTTCTAAATTTCTCTCTACAAACCTTATTTCTCTCTCTAAAATTTTAGTTTCATTTTTCTCTCTAAAAATTTAATATTTTTTCTAACTTTTTTCTCTCTAAAATTTCATCTTTTATAACTTTTCTTTCTTACTTTTTCTCCCTAAAATTTCATCTTTTATAATTTTTCTTTCTCTTCGTAATCTATTTTTTCCTATGAAAAATTATATTTTATTTTTTCATTCAATTTTCTTTCACGGTAACTTTTATTTGTCTTTGTATATATTTATCTTCTCTAAAAATTATATTTTGAATCTTGTTTTTATCTCTAAATTTGTTTTCACTATATTTTTTCTCTTTCTTTATAATTTATTTTTTTTCTTTAACATCTCTTTTCCTCTCGACTTTACTTTTTTCTCTTTTTGTCATTAACTTTTCTTTCACTATTTTTTTTTTTGAAAATCATTTCATTTATCTCTTTAAAATTTATCTTCCAAAAGTTTATTTATATCTCTCCAAACTTGTATTTTCATGTCTCTACATTAAGGGATGATAAAAATTTCTACAAGGTCAAGTCCCAAAAATAGGAAATGCATGTCCCGATCCCATCCCCGTCCTTGTCCCCGATTTCATTTTTTAAATAATTAATATGTATTTATTACACTTTTTTTATACTTAAATTCTAAAAATAATTAAAAACAATTATAAAATCGATAATTTTTCTCGAGAACATCTCTCGGACCCAAGAACGAGGTTGAAACGGAGACTAAAAATTTTCACGAGTACGAGAATGGGGAGATCATCCTCACTCGCACCCACACCATTGTCATCTCTACTCTATATAAAATATTCTCTATAATATGTATTTTAAATTTTATAACTTTTTAAAAACAAAAAACTAAAAATGGTTATCAAATTTGTTTTTTAAAAAACAAAAACCAAAAACCAAAAACTAAAATGGTTATCAAACGGGCGCTAAATATTTTGTCATATTTGTAAAATACAAAAGAGGTTGAGGTGATTATCTAAAAAAATCTCAACATATGTACTAACATTTAACATCTCATACGTATATTAGAGATATATTAGAAGTATATTAGAAATCAAAGATACATCATATGTGTATTAGAGGTACATCAGATATATATCAGAGGTACATAGTTTATATGTATATCAAAGGTACATGAAATATATATCAGATGTCATAAGGGTAAAATTGTAATAATAAAAATTTCGAAAATAAAAATTCAAAATTTTTTGCCATATTTATAAAATACAAAATAGGTTGACATTTTTGCAAATATGGCTAAAAATATAGATACACAATGCAATTTCCTAAATAACAACATATGACTGACTTTATCTCAGTTAGTAAATGATTAATAAGTATTTTCAAGTGCTATGTTTACAAATATATTTACTTTCCAAAAACTAGATTTTTAATTATATTTACAAATAAAGATTTATTTCAAATACTATTTTGGGTCCCTATACTCTTTGTTTTGGTTCATTTTCTCATTGTACTTTTAAAACATTCACTTTCATCTATCTACTTTCAACCTTGGTTCATTTTAGTCATTGTACTTTCAAAACCTATGTTTTGGTTCCTATACTTTTAATAAGTGACTAAATGTTTGGTCTCTATTTCCAAAATTTTAACACAAAGGTTATACATAATAAAAACTCTTTAATACGAATTTATAACCACATTTCAAGCAACTAAATTGTAGTGCTAAAATTATGAGTGAAAGAAATGGATAAAAAATGACCACTTTTTAAAATTACATAGATAAAAATAGAAGTTTAGAAAGTATAATGACTAAAATAAATTAAATTAGAAGTACAAGAATTAAAATAGACAGATTGAAATTACAAAAATCAAAATAAATCGAAGCTAAAAGCACGGAACTAAATAACTGACATGAGACAATTATCATTTTTCTGCAGCATATTTATTTTTGAAAACAGTTTTAAGATTCTAGGATCAAATAGTAGAATATGAACATAAAAAATTTTTATGTTTTCAAATTGAAAATGTCGAATTACATTAAATGATAAAAAAAAATACACTATTTCATCCTATAACCCATTTTATTTTTCTTAAAATAAAATCATGTAAAATATGATATATTATAAATTATGTAATTATTATAAAATTATAATTACACAAAATGTCAACATATATGTTAATAAATTAATTAAAAATATTTTAGATTGAAGTAAATATTTAGTTGGTAGCTATTACTTGTTTAGAACAAAACTTGAACAATTTTTTAAATTGATATTTAATTTCCGAATGTACTACTAAACATATTTGAGAACACAAGATACAATCCGATTTTTCTATTTTCAGATAACTTACCAAACGCACCCTTGAATTTTCATGGGTAAATAAACTTGGTGTATATATCTTGGAAAACTTTTAAAGGAATAATTCCATCCAAGTTTACAAACCTAGTTAAACTTAAACCCATCCCAAGGCCTGCCTCCTATGAATGTGAGTAGTAAGTAGGTAATAATATAAACAAAGTGTGGTAAATCCCATTTTCTCATGCTTACAAATGTGCAAACTCTTCCCCCAATGGAAATGTGAGTTCAGTTTGTACCCATAAGAAAACAAAAATACATAGGAAGCAAGATGCTACCCCACATCCATCCATTTCAGGCCATCACTATGCCATATGAAGACCCTACCCTCTCCTCCCTCTTCTCAACTGAAAAACATACTAATGCTGAACTACACCGACCTCGTCGAAGTTCCAGTCTCGTACTAAATCCCTTCTTACTGCTCGGCTACGCACCAGTCTTGGGGTACCATCCAACCCATTGCTGTTGGTGATTGTTGGTTGTGGAGTTACCTTGGCTGATGCTGCGTATGACGGGTGGTGGTGTGTTGGAGGGAAAGATGGCCTCCAAACTAGGCAGTTGGCCATTGCTGAACATCTTCCCTCGTTGTCTGAACTTGAAACCGAGTAGCTCCTAAATGAGTGTGAGGGACTCTCTACGCTATTGCATACAATACATGCCAGACTCATACTTGGACGTCTGGCGATCTCCTACTCTCGAGTTCCTAGCTGCAATTCATTGTCAGGTGAAGAAAAATATAGAAAGTCAAAACTTTGATGAATCAACCTGACACAACACTGAAACCGAAACAAATCTTTATCAGTTTCATCATACCACAAAAGCGCATGGTAAAAGAAGCTTGCTATTATTCCATATTCAAAAGAAGACTGTGCGAGAAAAGAATAGATGTGGTGATATATATATAATATATATATATATATATTTATTTTATTTTATTTTTTTTATGTCTGTGTGTCCGGGCTAGCTTGCGCGCACCTCGACTATTCACGAGCCAACCGCCTGACCCTACTACATTTGGTTGACAAGGAAACTCGTAGGATATTAGATCCTAGGTAGGTGACCATCATGGTTTGAACTCATTCCCTCTAAGTCCTTCGTTATTTACATTGGCCCTCATTGACCACTTAAGCCATCCCATGATGGTTTAGATGTGGTGATATATTGTCATCACTCAACTTCCTTTGATGATTTTCGCACTTGAAAACCCCTGACCTTAAAATGACTATTGCCTCACTTGGTCACAGGCTTGTAGACTAATAACCGACCCGAAAAAGTAAAACCATTGATCTCTTGGTTCTTATAATAGGACTGGAACTGTGAAATTTTGGGGAAAGTGTACGAGAGTCTATGAACACTTGTGATAATATAGAGTACAGAGTAGGTAGATTTGGAGAAGTGATTGTTAACATGTGCATTGAAACTGTAAATACATTCCTTTCCCACAATATCAAACTATTAACTCACAACTCCAAGACGAAAACACGATTAATACCAATGTTCGATTGTTATCAAATAGCATCACCAACCTTTTACTTGTGAGAGGGGAAGTCTCCCATCTTTTCCAATCTAGAGGTGATATAACTAGTGAGTCGGTGACCAAGAAGTCAAGTAGGTGACGAGAATGTATGCTGCTAGCTCACTACTTCCGATCTCATTTTCTGAACCCTAGTTTACGTAAAACCATCGAACTACATCCAACATTCCAATTAGAGGTTTAAAACTAATTACATCTCACGTTTTCGGACTATAGTAGACATTTTGACTAGATTATGAGTACTTTATTAGATCACATGGACAACTACTGGTCCTACATATTGACATTGGAAGATGCATAGGATATTAGATATGAAGGTAAAAACCTAGGTAGGTTGACTAACGTTCTAATCTTAAACCCATAAGCTTCACGACATCTATAAACCAAAGTTTATAGCTAGTCTCCCTCTAAAACGGAGCCAAACCATAGTGGTTTGCCACACTATAACCATTAAAGAAGTGCAAAGCATCAATTCACCATGCACAACCGAAATATCAAGGGGAAGGAATATCCATTATTAGGGAAGACCCATGGGCACAGAATCAGATTTTTGATAGACCAATGGACAGGTCCTCGCCCTTTGGAACTGTTGTTCCCTGATACTTTTGCAATTCCGATGAAGAAAGAGGCAAAAATAGCTGGAAAGAAGACCACCAAGACTGGGATCTTGGCTTTTTTTCTTTTTCTTTTTTTCATAAGAAACAATTTCATTGACGGTATGTAATTACAAAAATAGGAGAGATCCCCACCCAAGGGAGTTACAAAATAAGTCTTTAATTGATAAAAGATTGGGAAAGCTATAGTGATGCAAAGAGGGGGAAGAATTTACACCATGATATAACTAATAAGACTATATCATTAAAGAAAATAAAAATGAAAAGAACACTCCTTTTCAAAAAGACTGGGATCTTGGCTTTAGAAGAGGCATTTTCGGTATAGAGCTAAGTAGCTGTATGGGGCTGATGGAAAGAATATATTCAGTTCGTCCCAGGAGAGACATTGACAAAGTTTCTTGGTCCCTTGATTCCTCAGGCGATTTCACCATGATACAGCCTTTATAAGACCTACAGGGACTTCCCAAAAGCTGCAATACTCTTTGATTAATCAGATATGGAGGTTTAATGTTCCAAATAAGGTTAAAGTCTCTGTGAGGTATCTCCTCACTATTTCTATTACTGCAAGAACAAAGGAGCCTTAAGGCTTTACAAAACGCTAACCCACCTATTCGAGAGGGTGGGGAAACTCTCCCTCGCTTGCTTAACAAGACAAACACAATTCAGCCAAAAGATAAAATCCTCTCTACAACCTTCCCCCTACCTTATACCCTAACCGTACTCTCTAACAGCAGCTACTGACATTCTCTCTCCTGGCCGTTATGGCCTATACTCCCAACATTCCCCTTTTACCCTTCCTATGATATGTCTTGGTTATGAGGGGCCTAACAGTCTCCCACGGTGTGCACTCTGTGTTTGAAGAATGGAGAAAACGTAAACCACCTTTTTCTCCACTGTGATTTTGCTGCTGAGGGTTGGGATTTTTTGCCAGATACTTTTGGCTTTTCCAGCTGTATGCCCAATTCAGTTGAGGTTTGGATGATGGAGGTCTTAAATGGATGGCAGTTAAAAGGCAGAGAAAAGATCCTATGGAGATGTCTGACAAAATCTATGTTTGGAACATTTGGAGGGAGAGAAACCAAAGAGTTTTTGAGGGAGCAACGTCCTCTTGTGATTCTTTTATAACTGGTATACACCTTATGATATCTTGGTTGTGTCTAAATCACAACAATTTGTTTTGTAATTACAACTCATCTATGATCCACTTTCTCATTCCCTGCCCTTAGGCTGCTCTTTCGATTCTTGTGTCAACATATATTGTTTCTTATAAAAAAAAGGGAGTACTCTCAGATCGAAGGAGCCAAAAGGACTGATGAAATTGACCAAAGAGTTAGTTCGGTCAGTATGAGCAATGTGTTAAACAATTAAGTAGGATAACATAGAAAATGGAATATTAGTTGGTCGGTTTTGTTTTGATAGATTTTGTCAGTATCAGTTAGTTTGGTTTGCTTTTTTTGGTTTAAGTTGGTTTTAGTAAGAAGGCCAGTTCAATTTTACAAGAAGTCTTTTGGCATAATTTTTCTACATTCCTTACAGTGACAGGCCAGTTTGGCATTTGTTTTTGCTAAAAATCAGGCCAAATGTACCGGTGGCATCCGTATCCATTATAAATTCCTAGAATCTCAAAACATAAAAAGGCCAATGTTATGAACATGTTACTGCTATTTTAAAAAACAGAACATATATTTTGCAGAAATCATGGAAATAGTAAAGGAAAAAAAATTTTGTTCACGAACATTGACTTTAAGAAAAGACTAGGGAAATTATAAGGACAAAATAGAAAGAACATTCCATGACAGTTAGAGAACAACTAAATTAGATTTTTTTTATTCCATATCAAATAAAAAGGAGTTGGAGTCAAGTCGCTATATCTACTTGTTTAATTAAGGAGAATTTATTTCTTAACATAATCCTATTGTTGAATAAAGAAAGATACTTCAAAATGATTACAATTTAGATTTCATAGGTTCCACATGAACTCTATAAGAAAAACTGATATTAAATAAGTTCAGTTTAAGGGAATCACTTTCATTATTACTGAAATCAGATAAGATCTTACAATTTCAAGCTAAAAATTAATCGAACACATTCAATCACAATCAAAACTTTAAGCAGGTGCACCGTCAAATAATCCCTACATCATTTCAAAAGTAATTTTTGAGACAAGTTTATGGATACATTTTTAAGGATCAGATACAAATAAGAGTTTAGAATCCCTTTGACCCTTAAGCATTTACTCGAGACTAGAAAAAGCCATATTTGGAAAGATATAACCCATATAATTATATATAACTGAATCCAGCATTTCCTACCATGCCTAAAAAAAGATATTCATCAGAAAATTAAATACTGGTTTAATCCCATTTTGGTCCTGAACTTCCATATGTACTTCATTTTGGTCCATGAACTTTCAAATGTTCTAGTTTAATCTTTAAACTTTGCATAAAAGTCCATTTTAAATCCAAGTCTCATTTGAAGCCGAACACTCAACATAGGTAGACATGTGACTTCAAACATTTGCCTATTGTAGAAATCCATTGATTGAGTAGATGTATGCCAGTTAAACATTGTTCAACCTAGGACATCCCTTGATAAGGTAAATAGATAGAAGGCTCCTATGTTTTCTTTTTAGTTAAACAACATGCTGGGTGAGGGACTCGAACGTCTGACCTTTGGGTCGAGGATATATCCCTTAACCAGTAAGTTAAGGTATGTCCTATGTTAAGTTCCCATTAAATAATAAATAAACAACTTAACAATAAGAACTAAAATGATTTTTCATGCAAAGTATGGAGGCTAAAACATTATATTTGAAACATTAATTAACAAACTAGAATAAGCAAGTGCTAAACCAAAATAGGATTAAAGGGTAGAAGAAGTACTACACTTCCTCCCACTCAAACCTAGCTCCCATTCTACTAAAGGAATGAAATTATAATTAACATAATCAATCAATAACTGAAATCATACACAATAAGAGAAGCCTATTGATTATTGATAAAGTCAGTTTAGTAACTAAACAAGAAGCTGCAATACCACATTTAACTTAAAACACATATAAATATCCCAACCCCCAATTTTTCCAAAATTTCAAATCCGCAAAAACTTCACAAAAATTCTTCACCAAGAACAGTAGGAAGAACACGAATCACACCCTCAAAACAAACCACCAAAGAAATTGAAACACAAAAGAGAGAGGGACAGAGAGAGGACATTCGCACAATTAGATTCCAAGAAAGAAACTCCAAGAGCAGAGACTAATCATAAACGAAACGACCGGAATCCGGGCTCAATTGAATCACAAATAGCACAGAATCCACACCCAAAAACTCTCGAAGCAAGAAAAATCAAAATTACAAAAAGGGGGAAGTGAAATAATTAAGAGGGGCCCAAAACGTAAAGGAGGTAAGATCTGAGAGACGAACCTGTAATTCCCCCGGTGGCGAAAGGGGAAGCTTAAGATTCCCGAAAAGCTGAAGAGTGTGGGATCTGTGATGGAGTAAGATCCTGAGAGTGGACTTTATTATTATTATTATTGAGTATTTTATACGCACAACACCATAAATGAGAGGGATAGACGAGAGAGAAAATAAAGATTTTTTTTTTTCTTTTTTCCTAAGGATAAAAGAAAATTGGCAGCCATAATTTCAGAATTTAATGAAATGGAAAATCAAGCTCATGTGAAATTGAGGTTTTTTTTTTCCTTTGAAAAAAGGAAAAAGAAAAAGTTTAGTTGTTGATTATTTAAGTCATATTTGAGTTTTTACTCGTAAAAAAGAGACAAATAAGATGAGAAATTGATAATTAGTGTCCTTGTTGGGTGGGTTGAGTTACAAATTTTTTGTTTTGATTTTTTTTTTTAAATTATAAACAATAGTCTTAAGGGAGCATAGCTTAACGATAATTGCATATATCTTCAACTAAGAGGTTGTGAGTTCGATCTTCTACCCCACGTTGGAAACGTTGATAAGCCCTCACTAAAATTCACTCTAAACCTGAAGAAATTTGTTTTCTTATTAAACTCAAGAACACACAAGAGAAGAATATTGTTTTCCTTTCTTTCTTGATTGAAATGCTTCAATTTGCTTCTTTCTTGCTTACTTACAAATGAGGGAAATAACCCCTTTATATAACATCCAAGAGACACTTCTAAAAGACACAAAATATATGGATACATGTATACATACTATTCATGTATCTCAATACATTAATTTACATGAACCTAACAATTTATGTATCTAGAAATTCATGTATGTGTCTAGAAATTGAATCTCTAGCTTAAATTCTAACATCCCTCTTAAACTAGACTTCCATAGCTCCAAACTTCTCATTCATTTTCAAGAACAAGTCTGTCTTCGATGCTTTTGTAAATATATCTGCAACCTGATCTTGTGTCTTGCAATGCTTGATGTATACTTCCCCATCTTTGATCAATTCTCTGATGAAATGATATTTGATCTTTATATGTTTCTCCTTCCATGAAAAATTGGATTCTTTGAAAGAGCAATTGATGAGGTATTATCACAAAACATGATGGTCCATTTTTCTTAATGACACTTCAATTCATGTAGCACCTTTCTTAGCCAAAGTGCTTGACAACTGGCTGTGGATAAAGAGATGTATTCAACTTCGGTTGTTGACAACGCTACAACATCCTGCTTCTTTGATGTCCATGAAATTGCTCCAGAACCAATACTAAACACATATCCAGAAGTACTTTTATAATAATCAATATTTCCTCCCCAATCACTATCACTATATCCAACAAGAACATTATCAATGTTCTTCTTATAGTGAATTCCATGATTAATAGTTCCATGAACATATCGAAGAACTCCTTTTCCAGCTTTCCAATGACTTCTCTTTGGTGATACCATAAATCTACTCAATAAACTGACTGAGAACATAGGATCGGGTCTAGTTGTAGTTAAATACATTAAACTTCCAACGAGACTTCTATAGATGGTGGCATCAAAATCTTCACTTTCATCATACTTGCTCAATTTCAAACCTACTTCCATAGGAGTACTAGTTGGATAAGCGTTCTCCATTTTGAACTTGAACAACAAATCCTTTGCATGCTTCTTTTGGGAAATATTAGTCACAATATCACTTTGCTTTACTTCAATACCAAGAAAGTAATGAAGCAAGCCCATATCAGTCATCTCAAATTCTTTCTTCATGTTATCTTTGAACTCTTCAAGCATCATTGTTGAAGTTCCCGAAAATATCAAATCATCAACATTTAAACAAATGATCAAGAAATTACCATTCTTGTCATCTTTAATGTAGAGAGCATGTTCATATGGGTATCTTTTGAAATCATTCTTCAAGAAGAAACTATCAATAGGACTGGACCAGGCTCTTGGTGCTTGCTTTAGCCTATACAATGCTTTCTTCAATTGACATACCTTGTCCTCGTTTCCATTCTTCACAAAACCAGGAGGTTGCTCAACATATATCTCTTCCTCCAAGTACCCATTTAGAAAAGCTGACTTGATATCTATTTGATGTACTTTCCAGTCATTTTGTGTTGCAAGAGCTAGAATCAATCGAACAGTTTCCAAGCGAGTCACAAGTGCAAAAATTTCTTCATAATCCACACCCTACTTTTGCTTGTACCGTTTTATGACGAGTCTTGCCTTGTATTTCTTAACTTCGTCATTTTGCTTCAGCTTCGTCCGGTAGACCCATTTGACTCCAAGAGCTTTTATATTTTCCGGTAGATTGACCAACTCCCATGTCTCATTTCTTCTTATTGAATCGATCTCTTGATCCATTGCAACCTTCCATTTTTCATATGGAATTGCATCCTCAAAGTATACAGGATCAACGTCTGCAAATAAAGCAAAATCAACATGTTCATCTTCAGGTATTCTTCTTGAAGCATTATAGATTTCTTGAATATTTCTCATTTTCCTTGGTGGAGTTGATTCATCACTTGTGGAAGGTGGAGATGAAGATGAAGTTGTTGATTGAGTTTCTTCAAGCTCCAAGTCTTGAGCATCTCCTTTGTCATTCATGTCAACTAGTAATGGATTATGATTTCCATTTGTTGCATCCCATCTCCAAAATTCTACTTCATTGAATTTTACATATCGACTGATAATGATTTTCTTGCTTATAGGATTGAATAATCTATAAGCCTTGGAGTTCTCACTGTACCCGACGAAAATGCATTTTTCTAATTTATCATCTAGCTTACCCCTTTTCTCATTAGATACATGAGAATAAGCAATGCAGCCAAATACACTTAGGTGACTAACAGTTGGCTTTAATCGGCTCCATGCTTCTTGAGGAGTAAGGCCTTGAACACTTTTGGTTGAAGCACAATTCAAGAGATAAACAACACATGTCACCGCATCTCCCCAAAATTCATTTGGAAGATTCTTGACCTTTAACATACTTCTTGCAAGCTCCATTATTGTTTTGTTCTTTCTCTCTGCAACTCTGTTTTGTTGAGGAGTTCTTCGAACAGTCTTTTGATGCTTTATTCCATTTTCCTTCAAAAAAATCTTCAAAGGCAATATATTCTCCTCCGCGATCAGAATGCAACATTTTCAATTTTAAGTTGCTTTCATTTTCCACCATTGCCTTGAAAGTTTTGAAATAGTCAAAAGTAGAACCTTTTTCTTTTAACAGGTAAATTCATGTCTTCCGACTATAGTCATCCATAAATGTGAGAAAATAACGATTACCTCCAAGCGTAGTAGTTCGCATGGGTCCACATAAGTCTATATGATCTAGCTCAAGAGGTTTTGATGCTCTCTAAGAACCTCTTGTTGGAAATGGATTTCGATGATGCTTTTCCCAAAATACATGCTTCACAAAGTTGATCTTCCCTTTTAATATTTGGCATTCCTCTCACCATATGTTGTTGACACATGTTAGACAAAGTGTCAAAGCTCAGGTGCCCATACCGATAATGCCAAAGCTATGATGAGTCTTTTACTAACGTCTCAAAACAAAGAAGCTTCTCATAGTACATTTTGATTGGAAACATTTTGTTGTGAGTCATGTGTACCTTTGTTATGAGACTTCCATTCTTGGCTCTGATCTCGCATATGCTATCTTTAAAGACAACATCATGTCCCTTCAATAGAAGCTGTCCAGCACTTAGAAGATTGTGTTTGAGTCCTGGAACACAATACACATCAGTGATTCTTTTTGCTCAATTCTTTGTCTTCATGATAATATCTTCTTTTCCATTGACTGCGAGTTTCTTGTTGTCACCAGTCTTCACTTCATTTTGAAAAGATTCATCCAAAGTTACGAAAATATCCTATCTCATGTCATGTGGTTACTGCAATCACTATCAAGATACCATATTTCTTTAGTACTTGTTTCTTGGACATTAAATGTGAGGTAAAGAAGACTTTGATCATCATTTTGTTGTTCATGCATCAGAGTGGTCTCTGCCTGATTAGAATTGGTCTTTTTAGACTAACAGTCTGCTTGAAAGTTCCCGTAGCGTCCACAATTGAAGCATTGTATGTGAGAAAAATCTCAACGACCTCCATATCTACTTCTTTTTCGGCTGGAACTTCTTCCCCTTTCTCTATTTGAAGATGTTTGATTATCTCTTCTCTCTGACTCAAAAATTTTGAAGTCATTGAACCTTCCATTTCCTCAACCACTGCGTCCACCTCTTCTTTCATTAAATCTCCCTTTAGAAGAAGTTTGCATAAGAAAAGCTTCTTCTGAAGGAGTATAATCAAATCGCTTCAATCTAAGCTCATGAGATTGGAGAGATCCCATCAAGCTATTTATGGAGAGTGTTGACAAATCTTTGGACTCTTCAATTGCTACTACAATGTGCTCATATCTTCTGGTCATGCTTCTAAGGATCTTTTCTACCACTCTTTGATCTTCAATTGCATCTCCCTTTGATCTCAATTGATTAACAATATAGAGAACACAATTGAAAAATTCTTCAACAATTTCAACTTCTTTCATTCTAATGGTATCAAATTCAACTTGAAGTGCTTGAAATCTTAGCATTTTTACCTTTTCCTCCCCTTCATACAAACTCTACAATTCATCCCATGCTGCTTTAGCAGTTGAGACTCCTGAAATTCTTTCAAAGATATTTTCATATACAACTTGGTAGATAAAAAACAACGCCTTTTTTTCTTTCTTTCTAGCATCTCTCAACTCGTTGAGTTGTCGCTGTGAAAGACCATCCTCACCTTCGGGCTCCAAATATCCTCTATCAACAATATCTCAAAGCTCTTAATATCCGTAAAGAACCTTCATTTGTTGACTCCACCGTCTATAGTTCTTTCCTTCAAAATGAGGAAGTTGAAGCTGTAACATGTTGTTGGATGACATCTTTTGAACTTGGCTCTAATACCACTTTGTTGGAAACGTTGATAAGCCCTCACTAAAATTCACTCTAAATCCCACCAACTTTTAAGAGAAGAAATTTGTTCTCTTATGAAACTCAAGAACACACAAGAGAAGAATATTGTTCTATTTTCTTTCTTGATTGAAATACTTCAATTTGCTTCTTTCTTGCTTACTTACAAATG